AAGCTTCAGGAGGCAGGTATATATTACACCTCTAGAATCTAACCAAATACCTGAGTCCATCGAAATCACTCACGATAGTCTATCATATCGCATCTTCTTATCGCTAGACAGTCAGAAATGTTTTAAATGTAAACTTTCTGGTCATATTGCTTCACACTGTCCTTCTGTAAACAACACACCACTGACAAATAACAGCAACACACAATATAGTCAGCCAGAAATTTCAGCCACCGAAACCACTCAAAGGATAGAACAGAATCATAGCAAAACAACAGTTTTTCTCCCTTCATCTCAACCAAGCAACAAGGAAATACCAGTACAGACATCCAACACCTCACATGAACCACGAAGCGTAACATTCAGTAACAGCCAGACAAATATAATAGATAAAGCACCCAACAAAAGACCCATTTCAAATATTTTAACACCTCCAGCAGCAAATACACCCAACAGTCCTACGTTCACTATTCCAAGAAACATTAACACCAAAAAGCATAAGTCGGAAACTGGACCGTCGATCATCCAAGACGATGCTTTATCTCCAGTTAAAGCATTTATAGAAAGCCATACCCCACCACTCGCGTTAAATTGTGACCAGCTCAAGAGTTTACTGGAAAACACACATGGGGTACAAGACATAACACATATCATAAACGACTTTACAGATGATATCAAGGGACTTACAGAAATGTTACTACTAATATATTCTCATATAGATGACAGAACGCTAAAAAACCGCTGCACCAGACTTCGGAAGAAACTGGAACGCATCATCGACAAAAGTCTCAATGACTCTCTTAGCGATACTTCCTCAATAGACACATCTTTTTACTAAAATAAGAATCATGTCAATATTGCAATGGAACTTAAATGGATACTATGTCCATTTAAACATGTTAAAAAAACTGATAGCTGATTATACACCAGATGTCGTTTGCCTCCAGGAAACGCATTTCCACGACACAAAATCACACTCACCCAAAAACTATGCAGGATTTTTCAAAAACAGGCAAAGACCCACAGCAAGCGGTGGAGTCTCAATATACGTCAAAAGGGAGATACCTGTCCGACCAATTCCATTGAATACAAACCTAGAAGCTATAGCTATATCTATAGACCTCAAAGATGTACTCAACATATGTAACATTTACATCCCACCAGACTACCATTTGGAACCTGCCGAATTCCAAGCTCTGTTAGAACAAATACCCAGCCCTAGAATAATATTAGGAGACTTCAACGCCCACAGCATCTCGTGGGGCTCTTTTAAAAATGATCCTAGGGGAGAATTATTCAAGGAAGCACTTGAGACGAACAACCTAGCCTTACTTAACGATGGAAGCAGCACAAGGTTTGATACTGCTTCAGGGAGATTTTCTACCATCGACTTAAGCGCATGCTCGCCGAGCCTTCTGACGCATCTGAATTGGACCACTGCTGATGACTTATATAATAGCGATCATTTTCCTATTGTCATCTCAGATTCAAGAAATGATAGAAGTGATACGATACCACCAAATAAATGGAGATTAAAAGAGGCCAACTGGACTGATTACTCGCAATATATAGACAACAATATTAACAACATCGATTTAACCGAAAATATAAACATAATAATAGAAAAGTTTAATACATTAATCACCAAAGCAGCACAACAACACATTGGGAAAACAAAAACCGTCAAAAAGAAAAATCCAGTTCCTTGGTGGAACCAAGAATGCGAGACAGCACTCAAAGAAAGTAAATCAGCTCTAAATAAGTACAAAAGACACAAAACGACTGAAAACCTACGTGACTTAAGACAGAAGCAGGCCAGAGCAAGACTTACAACAAACAGAAATCAGAAAAAGTCGTGGCAAAATTTTGTTGAAGGAATGAATACAAGAACACCAATATCAACAATTTGGAAAAAGATAAAAAGTATCTCAGGCGCAAATAGTTTTCAAAAAATTAAAGCAATAAAAGATGAATCGATAATTCACACTAACAGCGATGAAATTGCTGAAATACTATCGAAAACATACTATAAGCACTCCAGCAATGATAACTACTCTCAAGAGTTCATAGCTCACAAAACACAACACGAAACAATTCCAATAACAGTTGAGAATAATGAAGACACCATCAACACTCCCCTAACCATTAACGAACTGCTCGATGCCATTCAAGATATGAAAAACACATCACCAGGGCCAGACGATATTCCAACCGTCTTCCTCAAGAACCTGCCTCTATCCGGTAGGAAATGTTTATTGGACATTTACAATATAATATGGTCAAAACATGAGTTTCCGAATAGCTGGAATCAAGCAATTGCCATTCCCATAGTTAAGCCAGGTAAACAACAGCTAGATCCAGAGTCATACAGACTAATTTCCTTAACATGTGTACCATGTAAATTGCTTGAGAAAATTATAAACAAGCGCCTGGTCTGGAGCCTAGAACAAAAACACGTACTGATACAGGAACAAGCAGGTTTCAGGCCGAACAGATCGACTATGGATAATATAGTCGATTTGAACAATTATATTCAGGAGGCATTTGAAAACCAGCAACACTGTTTTGCCATTTACTTTGACATTAATAAAGCCTTCGATACGGCGTGGAGATATAAAATAATCGAGAAGCTTAAAGACTGCGGCTACAATGGACATATATTAGCTTTCATTGCCAACTTTTTGGGTGAAAGAAACTTCCAGGTTCGAGTGAATGGATCACTGTCCAAATTGAAAACACAAGAGAACGGTGTACCACAGGGATCAATTATCAGTCCGACACTTTTTCTAATTACAATCAATGACATCTTGGATAATATGGAGAAACCTGTCCAAGCCAGACTCTACGCAGACGACATGATAATTTACGTAAGAGGCAAAAATATTGAAACCAGTGCCCAACTCTTAAAAGCGCAGTTATCGAAATTAGAACATTGGTCCAATCAGACAGGCTTTTCGTTTTCTCCCAGCAAAACAAAATGCATCATCTTCAGCAAAAAATGTGAACAGAATAATCCATCACTACAAATACATGACACATCGCTAGAGTACACGGATGAAATCAGGTTTCTAGGAATAACATTTGACAGACGTCTAACATGGAGAAAACATATCACTCAGCTTATTCAGTCTTGCCAAAGGAGAATTAATGTGTTAAAATGTCTAGCACATAAGCACTGGGGAGCAGAAAGCAAAACACTTTTAACCATTTACAGACTGCTAATACGATCAAAAATAGACTACGGGTGTATCGTGTATGCATCTGCCAAAAAAACCATATTAAAGCATCTAGATGTGGTACATAATACAGCTTTACGTATCATACTAGGAGCCTATCGAACAACACCGCTGGAAAGCTTATACTGCGAAGCAGGAGAACCCCCACTGCAACTGCGACGAGACATTCTCAGTTCATCATATATCATTAACACAGCATCAAACCCAGATGCTCCCACTTCTAAAAACCTACGCACCCTCATAGAATACGACAGAAATCCATTGCACATTCCACCACTACACAGAAGAGTTAGATCTCACCTAATACAGTTGAATATAAGCCAAATGCCTCAATTATATCCAGTCAAAGTCTCAAACGCACCACCTTGGGCTGTTCAGCTTCCTCGTGTAAATACCCAGCTAACAGAACTAGACAAGCATAGCACCCCTAACGAAATAATACAGAGGAATTTCTACGAAATCGTTGGTAAATATCTGGACCACAAGCTAATATTTACCGACGCATCGAAACAAGGATCAAACTGCGGGGCAGCAATAGTTACACCAACAACCATCAAGACCTTGAAGATTCCGGACTCAGCCACTACTCTGACAGGAGAGCTTTACGCGATTCTGGAAGCATTAAAATATATAGAAAGCACCGTTGACCAAAAATGGATAATCATTACAGACTCACTTAGCTCAATATACTCCATCAATAAGTTATATACAAAAAACCCGATAGCCAAGATAATACAAGAAACAATTACTCAACTCACCAACAATAACCAGATTATAGTACTTATGTGGGCTCCATCTCACAAAGGAATAACAGGGAATGAAACAGCGGATACAAACGCTAAAAGAGCGGCAACGAACAACAGCATCTGCAACCTCCCAGTTCCAGCATCAGATATGAAGGTATATGTAAAAGGCAAGACAATAGACCAGTGGAATAGTGTGTGGAGGAACAAGCCTTCCAAGCTACAAGAAGTGAAACCCAAGCTCAACGAATTGCAAACAGTAACAGAAAAAAGGAGACTGCAAGTGATAATAACCCGCCTCCGACTGGGCCACACAAGAATCACCCACAGCTACCTCATCACCCGTGACCCTGAACCAATGTGTTTTATGTGTGAAAGCGTTTTATCGGTAAAACACATTCTAGTGGAGTGTCCAATGTTCGAACAACAAAGACATCAGTTTAATCTCTGTGGTAAAACTCTAAAAGACATAATTGGAGCCACCTGCAATGTCCGAAATCTAATGTTGTTCTTGAGCCATTGTAATTTAATACATAAAATTTGATTCATGTACACATTAAATCCGCTGCTAATAGCTAATTAGCTGATGCAGCTTATGTAAATAAAAAAAAAAAAAAATAAAAATTGGTAATACTATAGTCCTTGAAGAACAAAATGCAAGGATGTTTTTGTATTTATATTGTACGATATAATCCATTTGTTTGAAATTCCTCTTTATTGAACGACATTTAAGTTCAAGTTCAATTGACGTTTAATGACAATATATTTTATTTGTCAGTCATCCAGGTGACACTGTGTGCTTTTTCCTTTCATTTTCAAATTTCTATACAATGCGTCTGTAACATACTGCAAATGCGCCAAGCCATAAGTGTAGTTTTAAAATTGCACGACGCAAAACAAACAATTATGGAATTGTTCTTTTGATGCCCCTCATAGCAGCATGAATGCGCCGCCACTGTTACAACGTCTGTGATTTTCCAAAAACCGGACAACCGGAAAGTTATAATACCCGGTGCACAAGTAAGTCATCTCCAGTTGCTACTCCGGTCTCTCCGCGTTTAGAAATGCTTTCATTGATTATTATACCGGTGTTATATTTGAAGTATGGTGTATGTGACCAATTGGATTCGTCTCAACTGGACCCGAACCCAATCGATGTGCATCATGTGATCAAGAAGGCTGTACATGATTTAAGCGGTACCGTATCACTTGTATCTGTTTAAATGTAGTTGTGTATGAGATTGAACCTTAAAGCATTTTTTGCAACCGACCAATTCCACATTTCAGGCTAAAAATACAGGATATAATTCCTTAGCTCATTTTAGCAAGAAACGTTTATATGAACATATGTCCTATATCTCTTAACTTTTGAATGACAAATTTTAAGAAAAAATGTGTTTCCTTAGCATAACTTTAATACTGTTCTAGATAATTTCATGATATTTGGCATGCACCCACTAAGCACCAATAGGCATTTTTTGATGTGGAATATTTTTTTATAATTCTACCAGTGGCCTCCGTACTGGAGATTTTTCAAAAACAAAAATTTGGTACGCCATTGCTTTTTCTGAAAATATTTTCAAAATCCTCATTTATTTTGACGTCAGAACTTTTTCCGTCCATTGCACCGTTTTCGCGTAAAAAAATTAAAACCATTTCCATGCATTTCTGGTATAACGAAATTGTTGTGAACTAGTAGGCCGGTGCCCTATTTTGTTTATAAAATAATGACATTTGATCGGTTACGTTGCGGTCTTATTTTGAAGTATCCATAAACGTGATAGTTTTGTACATTGTGAATGTTTCTCTAATCAATAATAAATAGAAAATAAATAAACCATGTCAAGATTTACAAATTCCGAGTTAGCAGATATGCATTTTATCTACGGATTTGCTGACGGGAATGCGCTTATGACTAGGCGGATATATCAAGAGAGGTATCCAAATCATATCATTCCCGATGCCAGAATATTTTCTAGAATACACAGGAAACTACGTGAAACTGGGAGCCTTAGCATTGACAATACTCCCAAAGGGGCACATCGCACGGTGAGAACACAAGAATTAGAGGAAGCTATTTTAAACACAATTGAGGAACATCCAGAAACAAGTACTAAGAAAATTGCGGTAATGCTTAATGTTTCCCGTTTTCTAATTTGAAAAATACTTGTTGGCTAAAAATACTTCTCTCGATCGCTTATAGGAAAACTTGCTGAAAACTCTTTATTTGATATTAGAATACTATTGACTTATGAAGCTACTTTTTCCCGCCACTTAATTCGCAAATTCCATGATAATCATGTATGGGCTGACGAAAACCGATACGCAATTACAGGGGCAGCTTTCCGTGAATGTGTGGCCTAGAATAGTTGGAGATTTCCTCACATGATCGTTCTTCCTGGATGGACTATTCTATCGTCACTTTCTTGAAAACGATTTGCTAATTTTGCTCGAGGATGTACCGCTGTTATTAAGAGAAGACACGTGGTACATGCATGCTGGTGCTCCTGTACGTTTTAGCATTAATGTTAGGGAATTTCTAAATGACCCCGGATAGGACGTGGGGGAACTCGCAGGTCCCCTGACTTAAACAGTTTAGATTATTTTTTGTGGGGCACCTCAAGACTTTAGTTTACACTACACCAGTTCTAACTGTAGAGGAACTGAGGTAGAAAATGTTACTTTCTTGGCAAACCTTATGAAATACTCTTGAAATTTTTGAAAGGGTTCGCCAATTCATGAGATAAAGAATTGCTTGATGATTTTTAATTCTTACGCATTGCAAAATCACTAAAATCTTATGCGGAGTTTGTAGGTAAGATGTGTTTTATTTAATACTCATTCAAGCAAAGTCAGTTGATTAAGATAGGTAGAATGGTTTTTATTTTTCATGCGCAAACGGTGCATTGGACGGAAAAAAGTCGAAGGATCAAATTTGTTGCAAAATTAATGATGATTTCAAAAGTATTCTTGGTTTCTGAAAAAGCAATGACGTACCATATTTTTTTTTCAATCTTCAGTATACATCCCGTACGGACGCCTCTGGTAGTTATATCAAAGAATATTTTAGACCAAAAGGTGCCTATTGGTACTTTGTAGGTGCATGTCAAATTTCATGAAAATATCTAGAACTGTATTAAAGTTTATGATAAGAAAATGAATTTCTTCTTAAAACTTCAACACCCTGTAGCTCAAAAGTTAAGAGGTTTAGGACATGTTCAGACGAACTTTTCTTCATAAAACGAGCTAAAATATCATATCCTTTTAGCTATCAATTAAATTGCACTCGGTATGCGTACTCGTCAAATTGCATTACGATTAAATTTTTTGCAGACAGAAATGCACATCTTAAAAGAACATTGAAGTTAATCTATAGTGTGGATCGATTTATTTGTTGGATGTGAATTTGTTTCCTAATAATATGTATTTCTTTTACACTAAAAAATAGGTAACTAAATTTGGAGCAATACAATCTGGACTGAGAATACAACATAAATGAAACTTCAATTTGTTTTATGTTTTTAAGCCCGCATAATAAGCCATACGATTCCAAAAACCAAACAACATCTTATAAAGTCAAGTACATTTATAAAAAATGGTTTCAAGTAGGTTGACTCTCCACTTATGCCCACAATGTTAGATGAAATAACGTCAACATGAAAACAACAAAAAAACTATAATGCTAAGAGTTCTAATTACTCTTCACTTCCTATACCAAAACTGGTGAGGAAGTATTGTAGTTGACAAAAATTATAAATTGAGATATTGTATTTTTTTGACGTTATATGACATACATAACTAAGAATGCGAGATACTGTATCTGAGAACCTATCCATCGTAGAGGTTTGGGGCAAAAACATTTATTACTAAAGTGGCCTAGAGAAAAGCCTAGAAAATATTTTCAAGGTTCTGAAATGACCGTTTGGGGGCGTAACTGCAATCTTGAATTTAAATCACATTAAGCTAACAAAAAAATACCTGATCTTTAAGGTCTAGGTGTTTGACAAGTTTTGCTGTATCTGTAAAAATAAAGTGGTGGGTGGTATTCAAAGGTTTCCGTAAAAAAATACTCTGAATCTACGAAACAGCTAAGTCGATTTTAACAAACTTGAACTAGTTGAAAAGAGCTATTCTTGGGCTACAAATGTTATAATATGTAATGTTTTGTTAGCTCCACATGCGACCGAGAACTTATTTCGACATTCCAACAGAAATGGTTAATTTCCCCAAAAAAATTAAATGCATGGTATGATTTTTTTTTTGTGAAAAAAGTAGCTAACTGATATCTAAACAAGCTCGCAAAAACCGCATCGCGATATCTTAATCCTAACCCAAAATTTAGACCAAAGAAAATTTTATACGAATCCCTTAAATTTTTATTCTTTAAACTAATTTTTCTGGATTTCTTTTTTATTCGTCAGACTGAAATCACCCTTTTTGAAAATATTGAAAACTATCGCTAAAAGGTAAGCTAGTAGTGCTAATAATAAAAGGCGTATTTTTTGTTTAAATGCATATCCACTATGGGTATATACGAAAAAGACAATTAATAGGAGCAGGCCATAGAATACAACAAAACAAATACCTAATCAAAACATAAATTTGAAGGTGTTTGTAAAAAACACACTATATCTTCGGCACGATGATTATAACAAACTTGGGCTAGTTGAAAAGATCTAGTCTTGGACTACAGATGTTATAATATTTGAAGTTTTGTTAGTTTTACAGGTGGCCGCTAGAAAGCTTTTTAAAAAAAATGTATTAGTATGATTTTTTCCATGAAACAGTAGCTAAATGTTGTCTAAACAAGCTCGCGTAAGCTGCATGTCGATATCATGTTCGTAACCTAAAATTTAGGCTAAAAAAAATGTTATAGGGAAATTCCATAAATTTTTATTTTTTTAAACTAATTTTTCTGGAGTTCATTGTCAAGTTGTGGCCTCAAAAATGACCGATTTGAAAAAGAAATGTTTTTAATGCCCCCGTGAATGCTCAAAATGCTGACCGTCACGCTCTATGTATGACTGTACCCTCTCCTGGGTAGATAAAACCGCAGCTTCAATTTCGGCTCTCGGTATGTTACGTATTGCATTACGAATCTGGTTTTTTATATCTTCTCTGGTTGTAGGAGGTTGAGTCTGAAACACAATGTCTTTAAACCGTCCCCATAAATAAAAATCTATGTATGCCATATCACATTCAAGCTCAAACGCCCTTGGTGCTTATCTTCTCGCAACCAATGCTGATTTTCTGCAGACGAATAATGCATATTGTAAAGATTCACTCTCCCGTAACTATTAAAGGTGGGTTCATCGGTCCAAGGGATATCGAATAAAAATTTTCTATTTTCGTGTATCATGCCTAATATTCAGTGGTAATTGTCCAACCTCCGATCAGTCTTCATCTTTCAAGGCCTGATGCAAGAACGACAAAATTAAATTTAAATATATCCTTATGTTCTGATGGCTATTAGAACCCGTCCTATGCCCAACTCAAGGGATAATGCTCTTGTGCTAACATGACGATTTCTTTCAATATATCCCAGTACGCGAGTAATATTTTCTTGTGTTCTACCAATTGTTTTCCGTAAAAACGTAGGCTGAAAACTACCATTGGCTTGTAAGCTTGCCAGTAATCGGGGAAAAACTCTCACATCGCAAAGACGCCGTCGCGTAAACTCTTTTTGCTACTGCAGCATTCTGCAGACGCATTTGGTAAGCACAAAAATTGCTCAAAATAACTCGAAGCTGTTGACAACTATTGACAATTTGAGGATTATTCATGTTTTGATTAGGTACTTGTATTGTTGTATTCCATGGCCTGCCTCTATTAATTCTTTTTCGTATATACCCATCGTGGATATGCATTTAAACAAAAAATATGCCTTTTATTATTACCATTGCTTACTTCTGTTTTAGCGATGTTTTGCAATATTTTCAAAAAAGGTGATTTCATTCTGATGAATAAAAAGGAATTCCAGAAAAATTAGTTTAAGAAATAAAAGTTTAAGGGTTTCGTTTAAAATTTTTTTGGCCTAAATTTTAGGTTAGGAACAAGATATCGAGATGCGGTTTTCGGGAGCTTGATTAGACCTCATTTAGCTACTTGTTTCATAAACTCATACCAATGCATTTAATTTTTTTGAGGAAATTAGCCATTTCTGTCGGAATGTCGAAAAAAAGCCCTGTAGCGGCCAC